TTTATACCGGTGTTAATTTTAATCATGGGATAACTTATACCCGGTTTGCTAACCAAACAAAGTATTAAGGTGGTATTAAAATTTTACACCAGCACTATTCCTTCTTATACCTCATACCAAACTACCCCTATCAGTCGGCTGGGATGATATGACTCACTGAACAAATCAATCAAAGAGGCATTTAAGCTCACTTTTTGTGTATCATAGAATATTAACCTTCATTCTCATGACAAAATGCACCCAAAAACAAACAAAAGTTCCCAAACTCTTTTGTATCATCAGATATCTCAAAATAAAATGAAAGATGAAGGCTAAACTGCACTCTGTAAAAGCCATATCTAAACCCTGCTGAGATAGAAATCAAGAATGAATGTTACAAACCACTATTCTTGTGATTTCAACTGTCATTACAAGATCTGAAAGTGCGGTGGAGATATGTAAAATGTATAAAAAATTTCACTGAAGTAGATATATATAAAAAGGAAATAGAAACATACAATTCGATTCACGGAAAACGTGGAGAAGTTCGCTGCAGAGAAGACGACAGAGGAGCACAAGTTTAGTTTTTAGGGCATATATAGCAGAAATGGTGGGCAAGGTAGTAGCGGGTCGAATTTGGATCGATCTGATTCTAGTTTATCCAGCCCACTAAAATGAATATGGGCCTGGGCTAAAGTCTTTCGATTTAAATTGGGCCAAGTGCATCATAGCCACTTTTGGGGCTGCTATTTAAACCTAAGCCACTATTTAATAACTATTTAAATTTAAACTACTTTCATTAGTACTAACTGGTGGAAAAACAGAAGAAAAATTAGAAATTGCTTGAGTAGTGAATGAATTTGATAAATTGAGTTCTTTTTGTCGATGAGGTGATTTGTTTATCCATCTGCGCTTGATTAATCCACTTATGTGAAGGGGTGCATATGTCACCTTAGGGTTTAGGCGAATCACACATCGAAATGAGACAGAAAAGTGAAAAGCTTTAGAAGGCATGAATAAGTTCACATGGTACGTATGCTTTTGGGGCTTGGTGTAGTGTAACTCGAAAGACAAATATATGCGGGCCTAGGCCCAATACGTATAAGTTGCATGAATAAGTTCACATGCATGTTTTTTCACATATGTCCATTCCCCATTCATGTGGGGGTTGTTGCGTTTTTTTCTTTAAAGGGTGTGAATGGGAAATGGAAGAGGCACCTTTTGGATTGCACCTCTCCATCTCACACTTCCTTTGTCTATAAATTTAGAGGCTTGGCCTTATTTTTTAGACATGAAAAATCAGAAAATTTCTCCCCTCTTTTATCGATTGTTGCATTATTTTCCAAATAAATATAAGTGTCAGGTGTGATTTGCTCTGTTTGTTGAGTTCGCTGAAGTTCTGTGATTTGTAGTGTCGCTATCACAGAATAGTTATTCCGTTCTATCTTGGGAGGAATTAATCCATAACCTTGGGCAACAGTGAAGAATTAAATTCCTTAAGGACACACTGTGAATTCTGTGGGCTCGGAATTATTTTACGATTTGTTTATTGAACTAACGCTTGTTTGCTTCTCTGATTTTGAACACAGTAATACCAACAAACCTATACCCACTTTGCAAAAAACTTTTCAAGCCTATCCACTCTACAATCAACTTCAGACTTATCGGGCCTGAAGTTAAAAATTAGTGTGGTTCCGATGCACTTAAAACCAAATAAGTCTGAAGTGCAACCAATGGTTTTGCACTTAAGGTCAATAAGTCTGAAGTGAAAAATTGCACTTCAGATGCACTTAAGGCCAAAAAGTCTGAAGTGCCACACATGTTTTCCTACACTTAAGACCAATAAGTCTGAAGTGAAAAATTACACTTCAGGTGACTTAAGTCCAAAAGGTCTGAAGTGCAACCAACGTTTTCATGCATTTAAGGCTAAATAGGTCTGAAGTGCAAATTGTAGAGAAATAGATATTTGTTCTTCGAATTTTAACAATCCAATATACGATTTAATACCTAAATCTATTCCAAATAAGCTCAAATTTGAAAAATAACATCCAAATATCATCAAGAACAAGCCCCGGTCATCAATATGTCAAACTAACAATAATTCTAACAAACACATTTTAGAATTAAGAAGAAAAAAAACCTAAGCAATAGTAAAAAATAAAGCACCACAATAGCTCACTACTGTAAAAATATCATAATCTACCTCAAAATATATTCACAAACACCATATAAAATCACTGTTACTCGAAGAAGAAGAAGAAGGAGGAGGCCTGAATTTGTTTAAACAGTGGGTATAAGTTAAAAAAAAAAGTGGGTACAGGTTAAATGGGGGCAACCAAATAGGGCGCCCATAAGTTTTTACGGTTTGCCCCACCATCGTATTGAAGGAGATTCGACTGTTATACTATATTTGTCAGGACCCAAGCCTATGGCACGTATTGGGCCTAGGCCCGCATATATTTGTCTTTCGAGTTACACTACACCAAGCCCCAAAAGCATACGTACCATGTGAACTTATTCATGCCTTCTAAAGCTTTTCACTTTTCTGTCTCATTTCGATGTGTTATTCGCCTAAACCCTAAGGTGACATATGCACCCCTTCACATAAGTGGATTAATCAAGCGCAGATGGATAAACAAATCACCTCATCGACAAAAAGAACTCAATTTATCAAATTCATTCACTACTCAAGCAATTTCTAATTTTTCTTCTGTTTTTCCACCAGTTAGTACTAATGAAAGTAGTTTAAATTTAAATAGTTATTAAATAGTGGCTTAGGTTTAAATAGCAGCCCCAAAAGTGGCTATGATGCATTTGGCCCAATTTAAATCGAAAGACTTTAGCCCAGGCCCATATTCATTTTAGTGGGCTGGATAAACCAGAATCAGATCGGTCCAAATTCGACCCGCTACTACCTTGCCCACCATTTCTGCTATATATGCCCTAAAAACTAAACTTGTGCTCCTCTGTCGTCTTCTCTGCAGCGAACTTCTCCACGTTTTCCGTGAATCGAATTGTATGTTTCTATTTCCTTTTTATATATATCTACTTCAGTGAAATTTTTTATACATTTTACATATCTCCACCGCACTTTCAGATCTTGTAATGACAGTTGAAATCACAAGAATAGTGGTTTGTAACATTCATTCTTGATTTCTATCTCAGCAGGGTTTAGATATGGCTTTTACAGAGTGCAGTTTAGCCTTCATCTTTCATTTTATTTTGAGATATCTGATGATACAAAAGAGTTTGGGAACTTTTGTTTGTTTTTGGGTGCATTTTGTCATGAGAATGAAGGTTAATATTCTATGATACACAAAAAGTGAGCTTAAATGCCTCTTTGATTGATTTGTTCAGTGAGTCATATCATCCCAGCCGACTGATAGGGGTAGTTTGGTATGAGGTATAAGAAGGAATAGTGCTGGTGTAAAATTTTAATACCACCTTAATACTTTGTTTG